CCCAAGGCGTCTTGGGTTCGGATCCTGGCCACTGCCGCAAACATGTTATCAGTACAGTTTCGTACTGTACCGGCTCACCCCTTTTGCTTTGCTGTATACGTTCCACGTACAGATATATAGTCTATGTGGCCGGCAAATGCAAGGTTAAAAGAGGCCGCCAACCTCTCTGAATATATATATATATATATATATATATTGTTATTGTATACATCAATGAGGGCTACTTTTAATGTTACTATATATATATATATATATATTGCGTTCATTTTCGAAACCCTGTGAAATAATAAATCAAATTCCCAATTGATTTCCAATTGATTGATTTTAATCTTCTGGCCGGTGATCATAGCAGAAAGCCAGGTTAAGTTACATTCTGCAGTCAAAGCTAACTGATTAAAGCAGACATGATTGCTTTGTGTCAAGCAGCACTTAAAACCCAATCAAATAAGACCAGTCTATTCGCACCTAGGTTAACTGAAATTGTCAACTAATATAAAAAATATGTTTTATATTTATCAAAGTATATTTTATGAAACCAAATACACGGGGTTGTCAACGTAATAAAGTGAAGTATATAGCAATTATTATAAAATTCCACCACCGCAGCAAACCATCAAACTAAGTGAATTTTTTATTGCTTGATCGGATTTTAACTAAAACATTTCCTTAAACATGTCAGATATATTTTCTACTTAAATAAAATTAGGTTTCATTTGTACTTAGGGTTGCTATCACAATGGATGTAGTAAGGTGTGCTTAAAATTTTAATAGCTTGACGAAGTAAACGGATGTTTAAAATTCATTCAAAATTTATCCATAAACAGCAAACTACGACAGTTAAGTTATCTTATCTTACTAATATTATAAATGTGAAAGTTTGTGTGTTTGTTTGTTTGTTTGTTTGTTTGTTTGTGTGTTTGAAGTTCAATCACGCATAAACCACTGGACGGATTGGGCTGAAATTTGGCATGATGATAGCTTACATTCCCGATTAACATATAGGCATTTCTTATCTCAAAAATCCTTTCAGGCTCCGCCCCAGTGGCTCTGTAATTCCCCATGTTAACCTTATGAGTATTCATATTTAAAGGGAATTAAAGAATTTAGTCAGCTGTTTCAACTAAAAAAGTTGGTTCTATGATATGGAAAAGCATTAAAAAGGTATAAGATTTACCAACAGGGTGCAGCACTATATTTTTTTGCATTTATGAAAACAGCTAATTTGAACTAAGCAGCAACAAAAAACTGTGATTCGCAATGAGAACTGTCAAAGTAGGATTGTTTACAGTTATGTTTATGTTTTTCATTTCATGAATAATTTGTGATATTTTGCGAATTGTTGATAATTTATTTTTCTCTATTGTTTAGGTGAAGTAGTAGAACATTATGGCTATGGTAGATGTGTAATACTATAGAATACTGTAAATTAACAAAACAAATTATCAAACTGTGTCCTTCCTTATTGCAAACGCAAAGCTTGAGTATAACTGCAATAAGCATTTTATACTTATATTCCAACCCAGTACGAAGGACGGGTACTCTGCTAGTCCAACATAAAAATAACACAGAAATATTTAGGTAAATTTAAAGTTTTTGGAATTTCTTTCGTAACTATTTTGCAAACAAATACGCTATATTGTATTTAATATTTGCGTTTAAGTTCTAGAAAATATTTTAGAAAGAAATTAAAAAATATATGTTTTAAAGGAAACAATTTGGGAAAGCTAGTTTATACCCATAAACCTCGTTCTTAAAGATTGTAAACTCGTTCGAATTAAAGTAGGTTTACGCATTTGACAGAAACAAAATGTAATCGAAATCAGGTCATTTTTACTCGATTTGTCACGCTAACGAATACATACACACACGTATACGAATTTAAATTGATGGAGTTTTCGGCCTCTGGGGACATCAAAACGAAAAAGAAAGTGCGTCCCGGGTCTAGCTCTCACCACGAGACCATAGGAGCGCCGTTTTCCTTTTATGGGAAATTCGCTAAAAGCAAGTCATCAGAGGCACTTTTACAATGATTTTAATAAAATGTCAAGTCAGGAATGGATAAAAATATTGAGAGTAAATGATAAGTTATAAATCATTTATCATGATAAAAATATCTAAGGCAAACTTTTTTCGCTTGTTTTGTTTAGATGCTTAGTACATCTCATCTTAACTCTGACCTTGTTTCGTTTTATCTGTTATTAGAAAAATAAATATTAATTGTGTCACTTTTGGTTTACATTTATTGTATTATTTACATAGCTTATCCATCGAAAATGTATTATAATGTAGTGAATATAATACATACAACCTTTTTAACTATGTAATCAGTAATGTTTTTTATAATCTATTAGTATGATGACTCTAGTTAAACGATGGCTCTGTGTTAGACAAAAATATATTTATTTTCTTATTCTTCATCTAGCTTTGTACTAGGAGAAAAAATTGGGAAATGGCGTCATAAAGGCCTATGAACCGAATTTGCTTTTGAAAACGGAAAGTATAATTTTAGTTGAAGAACAGCTATACTCTTTTCACTGTAAATATCGTTTATGCACTTTTTAAACATCACATAATATTTATACTTATAACAAAAGAAGTTTGTATATTCTAGAACTAGTGTATAAATGGTTAAACTGTAATTTAAAGTTCCTTGAGATGGCATTAAATTGTGCAGAAATAACTGTGCGCAGTAAATAATTGTAGCACTTTTATTATAAAAGTAAATTCACAAGATGTTGAAGAAGTAGAGAGTACTAGGAAGGGTTTACAACAAATCAAGACACAGCCGTGAGGGTAGCTTATCAGATGTGTTGTTGATTTATCTTCCGGGTTTAAGTGACAATATGTTTTCTTCGTGAGCATTTTATCGTTATTTTATGGTATACATGGTAATTCGAAAAGTGAACATAAAAGGATTACGTGAATGATATTGTTTAGTATTGCATTAATTTATTACATATGAAAAATCAATAATAATTTTTTTTATATAAAATAATATAATAGCTATAGCTCTTTTTATAGTTATTGAAAAATGAAAAATACACGATCTTCCATTTTAAGATAGAAATAACAAAAATATTTTACAAATGTATAATTTAAAAAGCCCAATTTTTAGTTTCAAGCAAAACATTATTATTCGCTGATTAACTTAATGCAAGTACTGCAAGCCTATCAAACACTTCTAACTAGTTCAGTAAATTCAAAGATTTGATGAATAATAATAATTGTGATGAAATAGCAGATTGAAGGTAAATTCATTTTTATAAGAATATATTTTAAGTTAAAAACTAAGGTGGTCACAATGTTGGACTACATGACACCCTGCACAAACCAAACTTGATGACTTTATTTAATTAATTTATATTTGTTTTACAATGTAATTAATAATAATTTAACAGTATATGTAAGACCTTTTTGCGTTGTAAATCTTTACCATCAGTTCAATCACAAATCAGGAAAATAGCACTCTGAAGTAAATTAAAATATTGTTACTTTTAGTTGAATTTCCATTGTAGTAAAATTTATGTAAAATCAGTTTTAACAACCAAACGAAATTTGAAACTTAAATAAATTCTTAATTATTAAAACTTAAAGATCATATCAATACAAAATTTTAAAACATTCTAGTTTCGTGAAAAGGAAATATGTAGTCTATAAACTTCTATTATCTTTTTACTATAGGTAGAACTTTATAATCCAAACGTCACTGTCACATATAAATCTAAAAAATACATCAACAAGTTTACAACTAATTTATCTCTAACAAACCAAACATATTAGAAAAAAGAAATGTCAGAGGAGTTTCACCAACATCAATATGTAATAATGCTCGAGGTGTTGTAATACTATTCCACCTACTGCATTTGGAGTTTAACTTTGAAACGTTTGAGATCAAAGAAAACTTGTTTGATATTATCATATTTTTTGTTTTTAAACTAAACAAAAAACTTAAGTACAACTAAAAATCTCACGTTGTACTTTTATCACGAGCAAACCTTTCTACGAGAACGACATAGAATAACTTTTTATGTAGCATTTCAATGTACATATAGCAACATTTCCTTGATAAATTTATACGCATCGACCTGATTCGTAATCAACACACAAGGCCAATCCATGTTCATTAAACAGTCAAAGTTGACTGATGAAAGCAGGCATGATTGCTTTGCAGCCTAAAGCACTCAAAACACAATTGAACAATACACGGCCACTCACATCAGCAATGAACTCACACGGCTTATCATTGACAAGTGCTACCCGAATGTTATCGACTTATGACGTTTTGAACTTAAACAGTAAAATTAGAAGAAGAACAATATGTATTTAATTACAAAACTAAACAAAAGACATGCCTTATCAAGCCATGAAATTCTATATTTATGTAAGCATGAAACCGATTGTTCTTTTTTTAACCTCGACTATTAACTATTATTACTATTATTGTTAATATTAATATTATTGTTAATATTATAATTTGGACTATTATTGTTTATGCACATTGTACATTTATGTCGTATGATATAAAGAATACAAATTTAATTTAAACATTACAATAAATATTCATTCGAATACGTCACAAGTTGGGACAAGCTGGTCCGTTTGTGGAGCAAACCGTTAGTAGAGTCCCAGAGGTAGCAGGTTCAAATCCGGGCAATTTCCAATGGGTTTAATCTTAGTGATAAAACCACAACCTCCAGGTTTAGCCTCATGTAATGTTAAAACGGTTCCGAGCTAAGAGCTTATCTAGCTTTCTTATATGTCAAAAATATGCCCCGTTATGTGCCCCATAGTAAATTATAAAAATATGAACATCACATCCTTCTTCGATTATGGTTTTGGAGTCAATTAATACAATGAATCAAAGTAGTGTCTTTCAAGTACCACAATTAAGGTAAATATTACATAAAATCAATTTGTATACCAGCAATCCTCTGCTTGAAACAACATAGTAGTATTACAATCAAATAGTTCGCAAAAGGAAACATTTAAAAATGACTTACCTCCTTGCTAAATATGACGACGAAGAGAATGTAGCCGTTGAGGAATAGTCCAATGACAGTAACCACGGTGAGCGGTACTCCCAGGGCGAGAGAGATCATCCCATCAGCAGAGAGTCACATGGTCACTGGTTCTGTAACAGGGTATCATACAGTCATCATAACACCAAGACTTCAAGGAGATGCACTACCAGGGCGAGAGAGATCATCCCATCAGCAGAGAGTCACATGGTCACTGGTTCTGTAACCGGGTATCATACAGTCATTATAACATCAACACATCAAGGAGAGGCACTACAGGGGCGAGATAAATCATCCCATCAGCAGAGAGTCATATGGTCACTGGTCCTGTAACCGGGTATCATACAGTCATCATAACACCAAAACATCAAGGAGAGGCACTACAGGGGCGAGATAAATCATCCCATCAGCAGAGAGTCACATGGTCACTGGTTCTGTAACCGGGTATCATACAGTCATTATAACATCAACACATCAAGGAGAGGCATACAGGGGCGAGATAGATCATCCCATCAGCAGAGAGTCACATGGTCACTGGTTCTGTACCAGGGTATCATACAGTCATCATAACACCAAAACATCAAGGAGAGGCACTACAGGGGCGAGATAAATCATCCCATCAGCAGAGAGTCACATGGTCACTGGTTCTGTAACAGGGTATCATACAGTCATTTATAACATCAACACATCAAGGAGAGGCACTAACAGGGTGAGAGAGGTCATCCCATCAGCAGAGAGTCACATGGTCACTGGTTCTGTAACAGGGTATCATACAGTCATCATAACACCAAGATTTCAAGGAGATACACAAACAGGGCAAGAGAGATCATCCTATCAGCAGAGAGTCACATGGTCACTGGTTCTGTAACAGGATATCATACAGTCATCATAACATCAACACATCAAGGAGATACACTAACAGGGCGAGAGAGATCATCTCATCAACAGAGAGTCACATGGTCACTGGTTCTGTAACAGGATGTCATACAGTCATCATAACACCAAGACTTCAAGGAGATGCACTACCAGGGCGAGAGAGATCATCCCATCAGCAGAGAGTCACATGGTCACTGGTTCTGTAACAGGATGTCATACAGTCATCATAACACCAAGACTTCAAGGAGATGCACTACCAGGGCGAGATAAATCATCCCATCAGCAGAGAGTCACATGGTCACTGGTTCTGTAACAGGGTATCATACAGTCATTATAACATCAACACATCAAGGAGATGCACTACCAGGGCGAGAGAGATCATCTCATCAACAGAGAGTCACATGGTCACTGGTTCTGTAACAGGATGTCATACAGTCATCATAACACCAAGACTTCAAGGAGATGCACTACCAGGGCGAGATAAATCATCCCATCAGCAGAGAGTCACATGGTCACTGGTTCTGTAACAGGGTATCATACAGTCATTATAACATCAACACATCAAGGAGAGACACTACAGGGGCGAGATAGATCATCCCATCAGCAGAGAGTCACATGGTCACTGGTTCTGTAACAGGGTATCATACAGTCATTATAACATCAACACATCAAGGAGAGACACTACAGGGGCGAGATAGATCATCCCATCAGCAGAGAGTCACATGGTCACTGGTTCTGTACCAGGGTATCATACAGTCATCATAACACCAAAACATCAAGGAGAGACACTAACAGGGCGAGAGAGATCATCCCATCAGCAGAGAGTCACATTGAGTCCTATTTATCTGATCGTCAGCAGTGTGTCAAAGTCGGTGACAAATGTTCTACCTGAGAGCAGATTACTAGAGGTGTTCCTGACATCACAGAACATATCACTAACTCACACTACCATCTGTATGCTGACGAATTACACATTTACTCCCATTTCGATGTAGACGAGATGGATATTGCTGTACGACTCATGAACTTTGACATTGAATTGATAACTCACTGGGCCACAAACAACGGACTTAAACTCAACATTGACAAAACACAAGCAATTATTGTTGGCTACCCCAGACTAATGACTAAAATCAACTTACTCACTGCACCACGACTTAACTTTGACGGAAAGGATCTCACCTACTGTGACAAAGTGAAAGACTTAGGACTCATAATGAACAAACATTTGAATTGGTCTGAACAAGCGAATTCCACTTGTAACAGTGTCTTTTGAGCTATTCACACAATCAATTGTTTTGCAGAATACCTTCCACTGCACTTGAAAATCATGTTAATAAAAACTATCATCTTGTCTCATTTCAACTACTGTGATGTGGGGATCAATAGCATGACTAATGAAGTTTCTAGTAGAGTTCAGCGATAGCAGAATTCCTGTATCAGATTCATGTTTGGCCTTAGGCGATATGGCCATGTAACTCCCTATTTAAACCTGATTTCATTGATGAACTTAAATGAACTTCGGGAATTTCACACCCTCCGTCTTCTACACTCCATTATCAATAGTAAAATTTCCAATTATTTATCAGACAAATTCCATTTTATTTCTGACATCAGCACCGTGCCACTCGTAGAAGCTCTCATCTTTTATATACACCAATTCACCGGTCAAAAGTTTTTAACAAATCCTTCTTAGTATCTGCAATTTGAATGTGGAATTCTCTTCCTGGCCATATCAAATCCATAGAAAACCGTGCGAGGTTTGGAACAGAGATTAAATTTATTATATTGAACAGCAGCATAAGTAAGTCTCTGGCGCTGGTGTGAGGGGCAATTTCTTCATGTTTAATTATTTAATGTTGCACTTTAGATTATTTAAATTTACTTATATCAGTAAATAAGTTTTTATTTATTTATATTTTAAAGGTTAAGTGGTAGAGAGGATTTACCTCGAGGAGAAGTCGTATCTTTGCCTCTTAAATAAAGACATTTTTCATTTCATAATTAGCCCCATGTTAAATCTCCATAAGAAAAGTGTAATTTCCACTTTTGACCCAACTAACATAAATATTCTCAAAATACAAATAAAACCTGCACATATATGACCGATAACCTTTCTTTTTGTACAATCCGTGTGCAATTCGGTCCAGTGATGGGGTCAGGCTAGCTGTTATAAGTTTTGCAAAAGTTATTTAAGATATTTTCAAAATGTTACTTCAAGAAGGAATCTATTAATGTTAGAGTGCTCAGTTGTATTTAATTAACTACCTTAATTCTATAAAAGTATGGATAAAATGTAAACGAAAATTGGGCGAGTTCCTAACTAAATTACTAATAAAAATTGTTTTATCGCATCTACTAGTTGTAATAAACTTTGTACATACCATAATCCATTCAATAGTCTCTGAAACACCTTGTTCACGAACACACCTTAATTTTGAAAAGTTATTGATAATAAAAATTTAATCTGTTGTAGTTTGAGGTTATTTAAGTCGACAGGGAAATAAACGTGAGGAAAATACTTGTCTCGAGGGAAATCGGAACAAAACTGTGAAAAGACTCGCCGCGGGTCCTTATGATATTAATATAGAACGGCAGCCCGACGTTATAATATCTGTCACGTATGGAGACTGACTTAAATATTTTCTTGCTCTTTTCTGCCACTGAGTCTATTTACCTTTCATCTCCCACGACATGGAATACTTATTTTGTATTCTCTTAGCAAGCGAATATTATACAAAGATAACAGTCACAGTAAAACTTTTACTTTGTCAAATGGTTGGTTATATAAAATTGTATATAAAGTGAGTACGAGCAATTTTATATAAGTAAATTGGACCTAAAATTATAGCGTACGTTAATTGATTTTACAAGTAAATATGACTAAAAATGTTTGCTGATAAAGTACATTTCATTCCGATATAATACAATTTTATTATATTAGTTTGGGCGTTGTTTAATATTCATTATGAAATCAGAACACATTTTTGAATTGATTCTACTGTAATTATAAATAATGAAGAAAGGTTCTTAATTAACTTATTATTTTTAGATAACAACCTGATAAGGAATTATTTTTGCAAGCCTGAATTTTATTCAACTTAAATTTTTTGTATTAAATTTTTTTTGTATTAGCCAGACACATGAGCTAAATGATTCCAAAAATATATACTAAATTGAACAAAATTATATTGGTTTCATTTTTTCCATACATTTTGATGACTTATCAATCTTTCAAAATTGATTTAATTACTGTAACAAAAGACCACCTCATCACAGGGCACTAGGTTAGAAGAGGTTAGGGTTAAATATTAATTTAAAGATCAATGCAATATCATAGCAAAAATCTGAATGATTTATCACTTGACACAGAATATCGTAATTAATTGGTGACCATCTCAATAGATTGCACCACGTTTATTGGTTTCAAATTTTTACATTACATGGGAAGTCTATTTTGTGTATAGTCAATGCTGTCACCCATAATCTTTTATGCTTCTACTGCAACAATATTAGAGATATTATAATAATATTTTATATTTTGAAACCATATTCCATAATAAAAAAAAATAGCTAACACTTTTTAGATCATTAATGTGTTGGCATTGGCAATTAAAAAAAAAACGCACTTCTCTTGTGACCTTTTTCATAGCTAAACAATAGCAATTCTCACAAGGAACTTTTTAAATAAATAATTGTTGCAATGTTCTGGATTACGAAATATTTTTCAGAATTAAATCCTATTCCAGGTCTTGAAACGTGATTCGTCTGCCAATGAAATATTCCTGCAAGTGTCAGGTTCATAAAAGCGTTAGTAACGTGAATTATTTATGTCTTCGAAATGTCTTTGCTTTCAGAAAGTCGTTTTTCTTTTTGTGTCAATATCTTATGAATTGGAGTTTCAAGGATACTTATAAAAGAATAAAAAAAGTCTTAGAACGAGGATTTAATGAAAACCTTCCGAAGTTTTGATTTCGAAAGAAATAACTAATAATGTGAAATATTGACCTCTGGTCTGCATTAAACGCAAAGAAAATTCATAAAAAAACTGATTTAAAAACTATAGAGCCGTGTAAATTGTTACAACTAAATTGATAATAGATGCAGTTCAAAATAACACATTTGTATTTCATGTAATAATATTTTTAATATACATATTTTGTATGAAAAAAAAACACGTAGACAGATTAAATAATTTGTAAAACATTTTAACTAAAACAATCAT